ATACTAATAATATTTAGTAAGTTAGATTGTGTATAATAAAATACACTATCTTATTCATAATTTGGAATAAAGTACTACAAGATCAAATCAGTACAACTTAAACGCCTAAGTTTAAGTAAACTTACGGTTTTTATTTATCACCTCAGTAGTTCGTTTCTAATAAAATTGTCGATCACAAGGTCTGAATGTGTGAACAGTTGTGAATTTGTTAGAATGTTGCATTTAAGTAAATTTTTTTTGTTCAAGCTTTTATTGTACAAAATGTTACACTGTTCCTAGTTGTCCTGTCGATAGAAACCTGTCGTGTCGAAGTTTACCAATCGGATATTTCTAAATTAAAATAGATTCTTGGCCCTAAAAGCTTTGAAATTTATGGATCCGTTTTAGCGTGAATAAACGAAACAAACGTTTATCGATCAAATGAAAGTTAACGCTTTAGTCATTCGATTGCATCAAAGGAAACTAACTTTTGAAAAAAATTGTTGAGATTCTTCATAGTCATAATAATTGATTTACTTAGTTCACGTGGATAATGCTGTATCGGAACTAAATCTAAGAATGATGTGCCTTACATTGAAATATTTTAATAAACCGTCAATTTACTTGCAGTGACATGTGATCAATAATTAAGTCTAATAAAAAGCTAAACCTTATAACTCGTTCATCTGTGAATACTTTTCAAAATAATTGCACGTTTGTAAAAGATTTGTTAACAAAATTTAACTTTCTAAAGAATCAACGGAAGCATGAATAGACACATTGAAATAAAAGTACTGTTATTATTGAAAAAAGTACACAAGTAATCTATTTTAAATTAAGGACCAAGCAATGACTGAATGACTTGCCAGTTATTCACATTTTTATTAAACCATTCAATCAGTGTCAAACAGTTGGTGCAGTAATCAATGTGAAAGTGTCAAAAAGAATCACGTGTACAGAACATTTTTCATTTTGTTTTTCAATTTTCGTTCATTGTTCATAATTGCGTGATAAATCTAATTTCTGTCTAAAAAGTAATAATCTCTGAGATTTTCTAGGCAATAGCCACCGAATAATCTCAACATAATGGCTGGCTCATTGTATGTTTTTTGTCTTATGTTTTGGCTTATGAGTAAAAGTTAAATGTCACTGAGTTTGGGGCTTAATGTTCATTACTTCAAAATCCAGGACATGATACACTCAGTAAAAGAGTAACTAGAAGTGAAAAAGTCGCATTTGCCTTGGAGGCGTCCCCTAAATAGTTCGGCTTGGTGTGGAAGCTTTGTGCGATAATTAAACCGAGATGGCTCTCTCAGCAGATATTGGGAAGCGGACTTCCATTGAGGGTGTAGGTCGTTTGCGTCGTGCAAGGCAGAATATGCATGAGGTGGCGATTCGGTTGGTTGAGGTTAAAACCGTTTTTCACTGCCCATCCCTCAATAGACGTAATGTGCATTTGATGCTCAGTCGAATCCTATTCGCTTATAATGAACCTCCAGATATTCACATCGTCTCTGTAGGTCGATTCCGTTGAGCTAACTTGGAATCTTTCAAGCTCTACATGATTATTAGGTGGTTTCTCTGTGTTTCTTAGACATCCTTCGGCAGGAGATTAGATTTCGTGACATAATTATCCAATGTAGAAAGAGTCACAATCGACTCACCATAATTCAAAGATGTAGTACAGTTCTAGGCATTTTATGGTTGAATTGATGCTTATTTTAAATTATCAAATAAACCTTGGTAATAATACCAATTAACAAATAGCTTCAAACTCTGTTAAATGTCCGTGTAAAATCAAGGACTCATATTTAAGTTTCTCTGGTAAATTCGAATTAAGAGAAAATATGGAATTCTGACATTGACAAACATATTGAAAAGTAGAAACGATCATACATTTCTGTTTGACATTCATTTTCTCGCACGGCTTTTCTTTGAAATTTTTGGATTTCAGCTCGCTGTTCTGTCACTTTCTTTCTGATTGGATTGAAGAAAGATTATATTTGATTATCATTAGATTACTTGTCAAAAATTACTGATTACAAAAGCTGTTCCAGTTGAAAAGTATATTAGGCTAATGTCTGTCTATGAAGTGCACACAAGTGCACTAGTCTTATGTATCTGTAATATTTTGTGAACAGATTATTGAGTCGTAACATGCTTTAGTATGCCGAACATATCAAACTTTTGGTTTAGTTTATTAGATAAGTGTTGAGACTATCGTTGTTTTTTCGCATAGTCGTTCAATAGTTCTGTCACATTGAGCAGCAATTGATTATCGACAAAAGCTTTAGTCTTGTAACACACTGCACGTTTAGACTTGTTGTTGCAATGTGATTTCTCCACCTTCACTTACTGAACAACGACTCATCTTCGATGTTTATTGACGCATTCTTGAGTATTGTATCCTATATATGAGTTCGTTCGAGTGTATTCTCGTTAAAATCCTGTTCATTTCTTATCGTTTCTCTGGTCAACCGTTTACTTTACTTCTTCTAGTATCGACTGATACGAATGACCGTTTCCAAGTTGATTTAATTTTCTAATAGACAGGTTAATACATACTATCACTAATTTAAATCAAAGTATAACAGGCGTAAATATGACAAAAATCGACGAATAAACGGCAAAACTTATTTACCTTAAGCTACATTGTTAAATCAATAACTGTTGACTGATGATCTATGGCTATAGTACTTTTCAAAATATACTAGATGCAATTGTAAACAGAAGATTACTTTTTATTTCTTGAGTATAACCTTAATCTAAAACAGTCAAGTTAGGCAACTATTGAAAATTAGGAAACACCTAAATGATGTTCGTTCACATTTTCATTCTCTTCAGCATTAGGTTTGAATGTTACCTTCTTTACTTGGCTATCGTTTTACTGCCGTTTGTCAGAAAACCGTTTTTATAGTTCTGACACACTGACGAGTACAGTTTATCAATCACTCAGGTTTAACCGATATGATATGACCAGATACTGTAAACATCTTACTCCTTTGGATATTCAAATGAAGATCAAACAAATCAAAAGCAACTTTTCCTTAAAATCTTTGTTCAAATCTAATGTGAAATATCAGTTCAGAAAATATATATCTAAATGATGAATTCTAGCTTGCAATGTGTTTAAATCTACGGTTTCTTGTTGATTGCCATGAATCACCTAACATAAGCTCTTATACATACAAAATCTAAAAAGTATTCAACTCACTCCATTAATTCATACTCTTTCTTCATATTCTCGTGGGATTCGGTCAAAGTTTTGTTTATATGTTGCAAATTAGCAATTTGTGACTTCGCTAATGCCAATTCCTTTGCTATTTCCTCATCTTGCTGAATAATCGTCGAGACTTTAGGAGCTTCGTTAGTCACTTTATTCGATACTAAAAAAGAAGGTAGAAGTTGAATTTAGTCTAAAGTACTTTTGTTTTCCTCGTCCTCATGATACCTAAAGCTGAAAATTTTAAATTAACCAATTAAAAGCTTCGAAATTGCATTCAACAATGGTAAACTTGGAATATTAGTCAGCAACAGTGAGATTATAATTTATGGACGACCTTCGAGCTATGCCAAAGTGATCCTGAGAACACTCACCTACTTACTGCGGTTGGAAGACAGTTATAGATTGGCCTGAAGAATCAGGAATAGGCTTAAGAGCTGGATCTAAGTGTCAGGAATTAGAGTTGAGGGTTTTCATTCCGAAGTGATTACGATGGTCTGTGACCAGTTCCATCAAATGTAAACCACTATCAACCTGTTAAACAATTAATACTACCCATTTAACAGACATGGTTATACTGTTGCTTTTTAAACTACATGAATGTAATGTCATTCAAGTAATCTCAATTTGTTCTCTGAGCACCCGACAGACAAAAAACAATGATTGTGAAGCACTCAACAAATAAATCATACACTAGTCCTTTCGCAAAGTCGCAATTTCCAAAGCCTCTGCTTCCATTGAGTTAATGAAGTACATATAGGGTTTTGTCGCCATTGATAACATCTATCCGACACAAAAATTACCGCTAATTTCAACCCAATAATTTGTCAATAAAAATTCTAAGCCTCTTGAGTAGTATATAGTTTGCAAATATTGTAGAGTGTCCTTTAGTTACTCTCTTTCATTAAAAACATGCACCGTGTTAAATCAACACAGTCAAATGCAGATATCTTTTGACCGTGAGAATATCTATAATTTATATGACAAAAATTGACGTATAAACGGCAACACTTGTATACCTTATTTTAATCAAATGCAGAATATCTGCAGCTTATACAGCCTCTCAATGTAGAGCCGCCTAAAATATAATTTTGAGGTTGCTGCGAATATTATTTTTGGACATAATCGTTGGTGAAGTGACCGTTGTCCAAGATCACTGTGTTTCGGAAAGTCGACCATTACAGTCGGAGCTCATTCTCAATTGGTTTATGGAATAGTTAGTAAACATGAGTTCCTCGACGGAGTTTTATCCAGTTTCCTTCGCGTTATTTAAATGCGTGCATTTGCCTACTAGTAGCAAACAATTTAGTTTGAGATTAGTCAGTATATTCAAGTTGATGTATTATTTTGTTTATGTTCCTTTATTCTTTATCCTCATATACACTCGGTACTATAATTTTACAGTTATGAATCAGTTAAGCTGAATCCTGTGTTTGAGTGAAGACACATAATTCTGAAGTCTTTCCCAACGATATCATGTTAAGATTCAGGATGTTCTCTTATACGATTATAGGTTTCTAGCTTCTGAAACTCAATTCTAACAAGGAAGATATCAAGATTGGTGACTTCGAACTTCTCAGAGAATTTTCTTAGTGCAGTAAGTTCTACTACGATGATACCTTTTTCAGGTAATTTACATGATAATGGATTTAAGACCGTAATTCCCGCGAGCTTGCCTCCAGAATCCTGACAATTCCTAGGATCAAGATAGTGAGTAGTTCAGTTACACGAGTTATACAATAAGCTTTGTAAGAAAAATTGATGATAGAATGTTATGTTTCAATAGTAACCTTGACTTCACTATGTGCTCACGAACTACCGCGCACTACAAATACGTAAACATGGATCAATAGGTCAAACCTCTTTTGGTATATTTCAAAAGTAACACTTTACCCAAGCCACCTTTACATAGTACTTTAAAGTTACCTGATGATAGTTCCTTGAAGAACTCGAAGGAATCAGCTATGTATTTCAGGAATGGAGTTACTTTAAAAAATTCAGGCTGCCAGATATCTAAGTTCAGTGGCGATTGTTCTGATGAGGTTGCTATGCTCAGAAAAGTAAGAGACGATCTGTTATAAATAATAATATAAACATAATGGTAGTGTTGTTTATTCTTCAATGTTATTAGAGTAAGTTAAGGATAGAATAAAGAACATTGAATAATATGTTAGTAAAATAATCGTGTTACTGGTGAAAACCATATTTTAAAGCTAAAACAAAGTCTATCGCGATCACTGCGGAGCGTTGGATGTATGTACATTGTCTTAAGATATCATACCACATTTGTATCACTAGGTAAGTCGTCCAAAATGCACGAAAATGTCTGCGAAAGCAGTTGACATCAAATAGCCTGACGAGAGGAGATATAAGCATCACTCTTAATCATGTGGTAATAACTTATAAGTTTGATCTTAACTCAGCTTCATGGTTTGCATATACTAGGACCAATAAAACCCTTGACCACATGGAAACTCAAGTAATCTGTATGTATTCACACAGTTTCTTAATCTTGAGATTCTTAATAACATTGATTCATTATCCAATTTGTTGTATTTTCTTTTCATCTTTAAGTTGTTCAGTTTGCTTTTTACTTTTCGAGTACAAAGGTTGTCAACAAGTATATGTGTAATTAGGTTTTTCGGAGTGTATTGCGCTAATATATATCATATCGGCCAACCTTTGTTTTGTCATTGCATTATCCAAACGACTAGGGTTATTTAAAGTGATGATTCCTACGTTAACGGAAACAGTTGAACAGTAATTATATTGAGGGAAACTGAGCACTGAACATAAGGTCAGCGAAAATAGAGTGGGATGGGATTCGTGAAGGAACACTGAAACTCGAAATTTGGAAAAATAAAGTAGAGTGAACCTCTTCACATCAGCAATCGATTCTGAGGCCATGTCACTCAAAGTTGCCGATCACAAATCTATTATCGAGTGGATCCTAGAGAAACTGATAATCTGTGATTCTTTAGAGTTTGTAATTATTTGTCTTGGAGTTTGATTCTCAACGATCTTATCCGTTGGCGGATGAATATGGACTATGATAGTAAACGTTTTTTGCTTTACTGAAAATATTATATTCACAAATATATATTGTCGTCATTAATTCATGATGGTTGTCATTTTTCTCGAATCGGGACTGATATAATTGGAGATCATACAAAATGTGTACTCTAGTTGAAAAAGTTGATTGGGTTTTAAAGGCTGGAGAAGAAACGAAGATTTTGAGCTGGATAAAAATGTTATACGGAAAGATCAACTGCTATAAATGATCCTTTTCGTGTTATAATTGTCTGACGGACCGTAGAATTCCTTGTTAATTATAATCCCTAAAATTTACACTTTTAAGCCTTAAAGGAATTGAATTTGGCTTTTAGACTAGATTGTGTTTCATATTAGTCAACAAAACAAAGTCATTTAGAATATCATCAACTTGCATAGTAAAGACGTCTCTGTTGGAGTCATGACTGAATTACAGAACTTCAAGTTTAATGGTTATAGTTAGTTCCATTAGTACTGATGATCCTTAGTACTTTTCTGAACTGAGATTTTATTAATCAAGATCTTAGGAGAAGACTTTCTTTTTCGTTACAGAAAGTTGCCTTACTTAGTGAACAAAATAAAACTATCGATGCTCAATGCCGTACTTTGAGAGAGAATCTGGTTAAAACCGAGAATGAACTTACAATGATGGCTGATCCTATTGAAGTAAGAAAATACTGTATCTCCGAGTCTTAGTGTTTTCAAAGCTCAAAACTAACCCAAAGTGCAGGCCGCTGCAAACAGAAATCATATAAAAATATTCGTTTACTTTATCAAAAGGTTTTTAAATTGGAGACTCAACTTCAAGATAAAGATTCTCAGTACAAGTAAGCTGATGGTGATGCATAAATCTTGTTTAAATTAGTCTGTTAAATATGGATGTTAAATCCTTCAGAGAAAGGACATATTCAGAAATATAAGTACTACCTGATCATTCAGAGGTAGAAACAGTATAAGCTAGAAAACAGCCACAAAAAACTAACTAAATTTAAAGAACGAGCAAAAATAACTAACATTGAATAGGGGTTTTTTCAGATATAAAAATCCACAGGGACAAACAGCTTCAAAATTACTTACTTGATCCATTGAAGCACATTTATTTTTTTCAAATTTCATTAACTGACATTTTCAAAATATAAGATTTCATTCACTGATGCTCATGACAGTAAAGTCAATAAGTTATTTAGAGTAAATTATAATTATGTGTCTCTCTAACTAATACGGTGCTAACTGATTATATTGTTCGGAAAAGCAATTTAAATAACATACTGAATGAAGTCGTCTCATTTTGGAGACATGAATTGTAACAGCTTTTAGCAGTCGCTTATACTGATACGTATTCACATTCTAAAGTTTGCAAACGCAGGGGTTGGTGATTAGTATCTGACACTTCTTCCTAGTCAATGGAGTTGATGTGATCTTCAAGGTCAAAATGATGGGCAAAATCAACTGGAGAACACTTTAAAATAGATTAGTGTTATTGATATCGCCTTTATGAACAACATTTAAAAATGTCATCAAATGGTGTGCATGCAAAAAACTCAAATATTTCCATGTGTTAAAACAGTAATCATATTAGTACTAGTAACTGGTAATGGAAATCAGAGCATACGTTCAGTTTCTTTTGATATTGTCTTTTGGGCATTCTAGCGTTCACATTATATACGGTAAGCTTTATGTTTATCCGTATATATTTCGAGATATTAATTTGTAGTAAGTTACAAGTTGAACTTACTTGTAAGTATGTACAAGTCGTTTCCGTAAATAGCTTATTAGATGCGAAAATCTGGTATTAAATGGGATACGTATTTATCATGGTAACCCTATTACAATAATTAACCAAGTGGAGACTTGGTCATGATAACTTCAGTGAATTAAAAGACCATATCTTTTCCAAACTATCCAATAAAAGCAATTGGCAATCAGTCTTGAATGATTGGTCAAATTTATTTTAGGTTGTCGATTATAACTCTTCGTACAGAAATTTATAGGCTTAGTTATTATTTAAATTATGTCCTTCACTTTAATTTTGAAGCCGCTTGGTAACGGACATGAAATTTACTCGGACTGAAGAGTTGCGAATACAGTTGAAGACTGCATTTACAGAAATCAAGCGGTTAAAAGAACAGATTCATATTTTATCAAATCAGTGTCCAGAGAAAAAAGAGAAATCTACCATTAAACCAAAAACAATTTTTTCCAGTGAAAACAATGAGTCACATTCTCAAATTAGGATTTTGGGGAGAGTGATTAAAGATTTAGATCAGCAGAAACAAGAGTTGATAGCAAAGAACCACTATTTAGTGAATAAAATACAGAAGCTTTACAAGCGTTTATCATCAAATGATGTAAAAGAGGATGTTAGTAAGTTTTTCCTATGTTCTGAGTTCAAAAATTCATTTTCAATGTCAGTTGATTTGAGGAAGTCCATAAGAGCACAGAAAGGAGTATTTTAACTTGTTAAAAGACAAAGGTCTGCAGGTTCAGAGAATCTACTTGGGGTATTTAAACCTGCACTATCGAGCATAGAAGTTAGAGACTTTGGTATTCACCTATTTCATCTGCTATTTCAAGTGATGACTGTCCGCAGGTATTGGATCTAAATTCCAAATCATTTAGTGGGTAACCTCAAATATTAGATATTATATTTGGTGTATTGCACTGTCTTATAGTGAAAACACTTTAAGGTTTTTCTGAGTGCCTGCTCGGTGTATACTACTCACAATGTAGTTCATAAGCAGTATGCAGTGGACGTGCAGCAGAGTCTCCCTGAAGTTGTTGCTGAAGCGAAAAGTATAGAACTTGGATGTATAGTGCTATCGGAGTGTTTTGAAGAACAGAAGATCCGTGGAAGAAGAACTCCAGTAATCCTCTTTCTATGTAGATAAATGTTTGACTGTAAGGTTTACACATTTTGTCTAGTAAGCAGTGTCTTAATGCCTTCAATAGTAAAGCGATTAATGTAGACTCTTTAATATTCTTGATATGTGTTTAATTGTACGAGTAGTTCTTACTTTTTATGTTTCTACTGAATGATACGAACTTTCATAAACCGTTGTCTGTGGTTATATAGGTTGTATTTCTTGGTTTGTTTCCGTTTATTATTTTACCTGTGAAACGAAGTTCATTCTCGCCATATAAATTTAAGTTTGAAGGGCGATAAATTTTAGGAATGACCAGGGAAATCTTTTGGTTTCTAAGAAACAGGAACTACGCCATGATCTTAGACAACCATTGAAAACCAGAGAGTACTGAACAGCTGTCTCACCTTAGTGTAGGATTCATCATCAGTATGCATCTTTGTCCCCACTGGGGATAGAAATCAAAACCTTTGATCTTGCGTGCAAGCGCCGAACCTATAGATCATCAGTTAAGTATCTTGAGATGAACATGTGTAACTTCAATCAATTAACGGTATGGCGCAACCATTTTTCATTGCCTTTGCTGCAAATCGAACATGATTTAACTTCACTTGTTAGTTGTCCACTGGTTTCGGGTAATGTAATACATTTCATTATGTCTAAGCGATAAACTTCGTATGGCTATAATAAAAGTGCTCTCAGCCTTATAACAATTAATTTGGTTCGATTTTCACACGACGCATATCATACCCGGTATTTCTAAGGGAAAGACTTCTCATATCGTTGATCATGTATGCATTTTCGAAAATACCTTAGAATAGTTGAGTGTAATTAGTTGGAAATCAGACAAATCATCCATCAACGGATCTCATATATGTTCACATTATCTAGTATATCCACTTAATGACCGCATTTATTTCTTGAAAAGTACCGTCAGTAATATCGGATTTCTTTTTTTTCCCTATTACTCGTTTTAGCTCCTTATCGTGCTTGTGAGAATGATGAGACTGATGTGCAGGTGTGTCAGACTTTTACTAATTCTCTAAACCTTACTTAATTTTATATTAAAAGACTTTAAAGTCCACTGATGATCATTTGGTGGCTACCATTGTTGAAAGTACCGGTAAGCTTGTTTTGTTTAAATCTCATTTTTCTTCATACTAGTTTGATTGTTAGTATTAAGAGTTCCTTTAACACCTATTTATAGCATAAAAGTTGGAAATCATGATCAGTGAAGATCACTTAATCGTTTAAAATCTTGAGGCGATTGTGAATTATAGCTTTTTAGTGTAGTGTTAGGCTGTATTATTTTGTAGTTAAATGGCAATATTAATACTTGTTTGAGAGTTTAGAGGATCTACTGAAATGTGGTTATGAAATGTATTGGTTCTTCAATAAAGAAGTTTATAGATATTCTCATGGTCAAAAGATATCTGCATTTGACTGTGTTGATTTAACATGGTGCATGTTTTTAATGAAAGAGAGTAACTAAAGGACACTCTACAATATTTGCAAACTATATACTACTCAAGAGGCTTAGAATTTTTATTGACAAATTATTGGGTTGAAATTAGCGGTAATTTCTGTGTCGGATAGATGTTATCAATGGCGACAAAACCCTATATATACTTCATTGACTCAATGGAAGCAGAGGCTTTGGAAATTGCGACTTTGCGAAAGGATTAGTGTATGATTTATTTGTTGAGTGCTTCACAATCATTGTTTTTTGTCTGTCGGGTGCTCAGAGAACAAATTGAGATTACTTGAATGACATTACATTCATGTAGTTTAAAAAGCAACAGTATAACCATGTCTGTTAAATGGGTAGTATTAATTGTTTAACAGGTTGATAGTGGTTTACATTTGATGGAACTGGTCACAGACCATCGTAATCACTTTAATAACACACATGTTTAACTTTTATTTATATACGACTTTCAATATCAGCTGTATACTTCAGTATATATATATATATATATATATATATATATAATAAAGGTTCCTACTAAAGGATATCAGCATACACTATTAGTCTCTGTGTTTCAGCAAAAATGACATTTAAATACGAGCAATGCAGCCAGTAATCTTATGTAGTTTATTATCTATTGTAAACAATGACACGTGTTATTCAGAATGTGTAGATAGCTAATTAAACTGAAATCAACGTTAATTTTGAAATAAATAGCTGAGACCTTCTTGTTCAAAGTAATTTAATTCACTTAGCCCCAAGACTGCAATTTAGGGATGAACCAGTCACATTTGAGATAGCTGGTCTTGGAATTCAGCGCAAAATTTACACATCCATAGATTAATTAACATTTTGATATGATATCTGATGTTAGTTCGGAATGAAAACCCTCAACTCTAATTCCTGACACTTAGATCCAGCTCTTAAGCCTATTCCTGATTCTTCAGGCCAATCTATAACTGTCTTCCAACCGCAGTAAGTAGGTGAGTGTTCTCAGGATCACTTTGGCATAGCTCGAAGGTCGTCCATAAATTATTATCTCACTGTTGCTGACTAATATTCCAAGTTTACCATTGTTGAATGCAATTTCGAAGCTTTGAATTGGTTAATTTAAAATTTTCAGTTTTAGGTATCATGAGGACGAGGAAAACAAAAGTACTTTAGACTAAATTCAACTTCTACCTTCTTTTTTTAGTATCGAATAAAGTGACTAACGAAGCTCCTAAAGTCTCGACGATTATTCAGCAAGATGAGGAAATAGCAAAGGAATTGGCATTAGCGAAGTCACAAATTGCTAATTTGCAACATATAAACAAAACTTTGACCGAATCCCACGAGAATATGAAGAAAGAGTATGAATTAATGGAGTGAGTTGAATACTTTTTAGATTTTGTATGTATAAGAGCTTATGTTAGGTGATTCATGGCAATCAACAAGAAACCGTAGATTTAAACACATTGCAAGCTAGAATTCATCATTTAGATATATATTTTCTGAACTGATATTTCACATTAGATTTGAACAAGGAGTAAGATGTTTACAGTATCTGGTCATATCATATCGGTTAAACCTGAGTGATTGATAAACTGTACTCGTCAATGTGTCAGAACTATAAAAACGGTTTTCTGACAAACGGCAGTAAAACGATAGCCAAGTAAAGAAGGTAACATTCAAACCTAATGCTGAAGAGAATGAAAATGTGAACGAACATCATTTAGGTGTTTCCTAATTTTCAATAGTTGCCTAACTTGACTGTTTTAGATTAAGGTTATACTCAAGAAATAAAAAGTAATTTTCTGTTTACGATCGCATCTAGTATATTTGAAAAGTAAACGATAAAAGTTATGGTCGTAACATCTTTTTAATAGGGGATCACGATATATTTATACTGTAGCCATAGATCATCAGTCAACAGTTATTGATTGAACAGTATAGCTTAAGGTAAATAAGTTTTGCCGTTTATTCGTCGATTTTTGTCATATTTACGCCTGTTGTACTTTGATTTAAATTAGTGATAGTATGTATTAACCTGTCTATTAGAAAATTAAATCAACTTGGAAACGGTCATTCGTATCAGTCGATACTAGAAGAAGTAAAGTAAACGGTTGACCAGAGAAACGATAAGAAATGAACAGGATTTTAACGAGAATACACTCGAACGAACTCATATATAGGATACAATACTCAAGAATGCGTCAATAAACATCGAAGATGAGTCGTTGTTCAGTAAGTGAAGGTGGAGAAATCAAATTGCAACAACAAGTCTAAACGTGCAGTGTGTTACAAGACTAAAGCTTTTGTCGATAATCAATTGCTGCTCAATGTGACAGAACTATTGAACGACTATGCGAAAAAACAACGATAGTCTCAACACTTATCTAATAAACTAAACCAAAAGTTTGATATGTTCGGCATACTAAAGCATGTTACGACTCAATAATCTGTTCACAAAATATTACAGATACATAAGACTAGTGCACTTGTGTGCACTTCATAACAGACATAGCCTAATATACTTTTCAACTGGAACAGCTTTTGTAATCAGTAATTTTTGACAAGTAATCTAATGATAATCAAATATAATCTTTCTTCAATCCAATCAGAAAGAAAGTGACAGAACAGCGAGCTGAAATCCAAAAATTCCAAAGAAAAGCCGTGCGAGAAAATGAATGTCAAACAGAAATGTATGATTGTTCCTACTTTTCAATATGTTTGTCAATGTCAGAATTCCATATTTTCTTTTAATTCGAATTTACCAGAGAAACTTAAATATGAGTTTTTGATTTTACACGGATATTTAACAGAGTTTGAAGCTATTTGTTAATTGGTATTATTACCAAGGTTTATTTGATAATTTAAAATAAGCATCAATTCAACCATAAAACGCCTAGAACTGTACTACGTCTTTGAATTATGGTGAGTCGATTGTGACTCTTTCTACATTGGATAATTATGTCACGAAATCTAATCTCCTGCCGAATGATGTCTAAGAAACACAGAGAAACCACCTAATAATCATGTAGAGCTTGAAAGGCTCCAAATTCGATCAGTGCAACTATCGATGATTTCAGGCTTGGATGTGGTGTGTATTTGAAGAGGACAGATGATATAAAAAATCTGTACTCATAATATTCAGACATCCATTTAGCATATAAGCAGGTTTGTGACTGTTTTCTCTCACATCTCTTTTGTTCTTCGATGCACCCTCATTGAGCAATGCTATTCGACCCCCTGACACTCGTCTTTGGTAGTGACTTCTAAGCAACGTTCCGCCGCACACTGCTGACACGCCGACCTGTAGGTATTATCCACCACGGTAGTACATTTCATCTTCAATATTTATCACGTCCGTATTATAAATATCACAATTACGCAAAAATGTTTTTCCAACTACAAAAACGATGAGTAGCTGAAGCGTATTATATAATGCCCTCAATAGAAAAGAAGACCTTATGATACATTGTACTTGAACAGTCTATCTAATCTATCATATCTGTTTATTTTCACAACTCACACTATCATTTTACAAACACATTCAGCTCCATCGTTGCACATTAAAAATACCACATTTTTCATACCCATTAACGCACAAGATACACGAGTATATTTCATTGAAATCACCTTGACCGGAGTGACATGACATCGATTTGATCAGACCTATTTTTGATTGATTGATTGATTGATTGCACTACATATTTTTTTGGTTTGTTCCCCTGTAATGTCTGAACTTGGGTTAATTTAATTCGTTCGTCTGTTCTCTTAAGAAAAATGGCTTACATTGAATCATGAAACGTTAGAAAAATTATAATTTTTTACAATGGTATTAATGAAACTTATCTTGTACGTAACGAAGAAAACGATTTTCGTAAAAATGTAAGCGATTAATCTTTCAGTAAATTCAATGCTTTGTTCGACGATCCGGTCCAAGCTTTTCCAAGCAAATATAATCACGCTTCAAAATTACTGAATATAAATACGTGGTTAACACGTCAACTGTATATTAAACGAATCATTCAATCATGTCAACAATGATATGTAATTTGTTTTAGAGAAAGAAGTAAAGAAAGTGTATTAAGTTGACAGGTGTATGCAAATCTGATATGATGAAATCCATTGACTATATATGATTACTGATCAGGATTGTTGGTGAAACTACATAATTTAATGGATGCTATGAATCAAAAATGCAATTACATGCATGCATATTATAATTGAGGATAAATAAACAAATGTATTTAATTTTGTGTTGTTGTGCTGAACAAGTTAGTCATTCATTGTGTATTCAGGCAAATAAACTGGTTTAGAACAAACGAAAATGTATCGTTGTTCTCCACATAGTAAGAAACAAAATAAAAGTAACAAGATAAAATTCATATTTACTTATTAATTTCTAGTTGTCGTGGTACAGATGATTGTTTTCCATCTCACTAACTAATATCATTTCTGTTTACCCATATGTAAATGGTTTGTTTCATTGTCAAACAAACCAAAACCTTTTTGAATGATTCTTGACTTATTGAAGTCAATCGCATTTATAGACTTTATCGGATTCAAAGCTGTGGTCGACATGTTTCCTAGTTTGTTTTGTTTCTTATAAACTATTTTGCACATCATCAACTATTGATATTTATGAAGGCTGTTGGAGAAGAATCAAAGGTGGTTTCAATAAACATATGGTACTTTTATTTGTTATGTCTATTAGTTTTTATGTTTGCAACATCAATACTTAGCTTTGCGTTCATCAGTTGATAAACTATCAAGTACTCATGCGCTAATTTACTCATTTTTAAGCAGAATGTGTTGCTACAAAATATTATCTTAGAAGTAGTGAGTATTTACTACCAATAATACAGTGATTATGAGATCCTAATTTTACGAAGAGATTACTGAATTATAAAGTGGCTCACAACAATATCCCTCACATACCTTTATTTGGTGATAAAAAGTGGACACCTATTGCTAAATACCAGTGCTAACTTCTTGGGATGTAATCCCAGTAGAGAGCTATAAAATGTGTATTTTGGTTTTTCATCTAAGTAATATTCAAAATACTTTAATTCTATGCAAAAATAAAAAACGATTCATATTTAGTATTACTGACATTGAGTCCCAGAGAATTCCCAAGACTAAAAAATAATTTTTTTCATGTATTTGTAAGCAAATAAATATTTAATGGAAATGGAGTTAAGTTGTATAAAAGTTCAGCCTAAGTGATAGATGGCAGTCCTAGATTTTATAAAGTAAATGGGAAATAAAATTTAGGGAATTTATCTTCATAGTATTTTTTTCACCTGTTACCCCGAATGTAGCATAGGCCGCCGACCAGTTTTCTCCAACCAACTCTGTCCTGGGCTTCCCTTTCCAGTTCTTTCTAATTTTTGTTCGGTTTTCTCATGTCTTTCTCTATTTCTCGACTTAATGTGTTCTTTGGCTTTTCTCTTTCCCTTTTACCCTGACGGTTTCAAGAGAGGGCTTGTCTTGTGGGGCGGTTGGGTGATTTTCGCAGTGTGTATCCCATCCACTTCCGCTTCTTCCTAATTTTCTCCTCCACTGGAATCTGGTTTGTTCTCTCCCACAGTATGTTGCTGCTGATAGTGTCTGGCTAACGAATCGGAAGTATTTTGCGTAGACAACTGTTCATAAATACTTGTATCTTCTGGATGATGGTTTTCGTAGTTCTCCAAGTTTCCGCCTCATACAGTAGAACTGTCTTGATATTTGTATTGAAAATTCTGATTTCGGTATTGAGTTCCATATATTTTCCAATCAAAGAAATTCAGCCCTTGCTTTTCCGATCCATGCCCTCATATCTGCATCGGATCAACCTTGATTGTCGATGATGCTGCTCAGATATGTAATATATTTTATGTCCTTCAAAGCATCTCCATCAAGAGTGATTTGGTTGATGCATTTTGTGTTGTATCAGAGAATCTTGCTGCTGCTGAGGCTGCTGCTACACTGGTTGTCTTCTCTTGCATTTGTTGTTGCGTGTGATATAGAAGAGCCAGGTAATCCGCGAAGTATAAATCGTCCAGCCGCATTCTAGCTGTCCATTGGATACCGTGATTTCTCTAGATTTTGACGTCTTCATAATCCAGTCGATAAACAGAAGAAAAAGAAAGGGTGAGGGTAAGCAAACTTGCCTGACACTAGTCTTCACCACGAACCAGTGTTTCAGCTGTACTCCGTGCATGATTTTGCAGTTTAATCCATCGTAAGAATTCCATATGATGTTGACTATCTTCTCAGGCATGCCGTAGTGTCGAAGAAGCCTCCAGTGTTGTCCTGTCCACACTTTCGAATGCTTTCTCGTAGTCAATGAAGTTGATGTATAGTGGTGAATTCCACTCTGTTGATTGTTCCACAATGATTGGTAATGTTGCAATTTGGTCGGTACACGATTGATCCTTACGAAATCTAGTCTGTTGATCTCGTATTTCCCCATCTATGAAGTCCCTCATTCTGATTAAATATACCCTGTTGAAGACTTTGCCTGGTATTGAAAGAAGAGTGATGCCTCTGTAGTTCTCACACTTGCTGTGATCGCCTTTCTTTGGCATTTTGACGAGGTCTCCTTCTTTCCAGTCTGATGGTACTTGTTCCTTCATTCCAAATCTTGTTGAAGAGAATGTGAAATATTTTTGCAGTTGCTTCCACGTCTGCTTTTATTGCCTCTGTTGGAATGTTTCTGGTCCTGCTGCTTTGTCGCTCTTGGTTAATCTGGCGGAAATACTGATCTCGTCAATTGTTGGTGGGCCTACATCGACTGGGAGGTCCGTAGATGCTGCTTCGATGTTGGGTTGGTTCAGTGGAGCTGGTAGATTCAAGAGCTCCTCGAAGTGCTCTACCCACCTACTTGGCTGTTATTCAGTGTTGTTGATTACTTTGCCTTCCTTACTTTTCACTGGTCGTTCTGGCTTACGATGGTTTCCAGCGAGCTTCTTTGTTGTATCGTACAATTGTCTCATGTTTCCTCCTCTTGCAGCCTTTTCCGCCGTCATTGATAGATCTTACATACAGTTTCGTTTGTCGGCTCTGATGCTCTTCCTGACTTTCCTGTTTGCTTCTGTGTATTCAGCTTGTGCCTTGGTTTTTTCTGCTGTTGTTTGGCTGATGTTGATTGCTGCCTTCTTCTTCCTCCTTTCTTGAATTATTTCAAGGGTGCCAACAGAGATTCATTTCTTGTGATGGTACTTCCTGTGGCCCAGAACCTCGGGACATTATTAAGAGATTCCCTCTTTGATCCCTTTCCAACTGTTTTCCATAGTGCAAGGCCTGGAACTTACTGCTGAGGGTTATCTTGAATTCGTTGGGTTTTACGGTATCCTGAAGAAAGACCGTATTAAACTTTTGTGATGTTGTCTGCCCCGTTGTCTAGTGTTTCTTGAGTTACAGCTTCATTTTGGCGACCAGCTAGTGGTGATCTGAAGCTATATGAGCTCCTCTCTTGGTCCTCACATCCTCCATGGTCCCTTCTGAATTTTGCATTGATACATGTTTGATCGATTTTGTTCTGCTTATCGTGATTCGGTGAAATCCATTTAGCTTTATGTATGTGTTTGTGTTGGAATTACGTACCACTTACGACTAGTTTGTTGCAAATGTCTCATCACTTTCCTTCTTTTCTCTCAGTCCATGTCGTCTCATAATGTCTTCATATCCAGTGTTGTCCATGCCAACCTTGGCATTTAGGTCTCTCATCGAAATCGTCAAATCCTTTGGTGAGCATCCCTCGACGATTGACTGCAGCATTTCTTAGAATTAATCTTTAACGTCGTCATTGTAGTCATTGGTAGGTGCAGAGCATTGGGTGACGTCCTCTTTCTTTGTTTTGATGGATGCTTTAATGTTTCGACTGGTGCCTTTTGTGCTTGTTTGGATAGCGTCAGTGCAACTCCTTGTGTTGCATGATCAGAGTATAACAGCAGTTCTGCTTAAGCTAACCTCAGTTGTCCTACCTGTGTCCAATGCGTCTCTCACTGATTCCAGTCCTCTCCAGGTTGCATCTTTTCATTTCTGCAGCAACTTAAAATAGTTTCCCGGTCTTCCACAATGTTCAAACGTTCCATGTTCCTAAAGGAATGGTTGTTCTGGTTGTCAGAAGGGGCGTCGGCCTCATGACTTCCGAGGGATTTCGGCTTTCATCATGAGACGTCATAACTCTTCTGCAAGAAGACCTAACTCCAAAGGCAGAGTTAAATTGGATCGAATTATGTTTTTTGGTCAGCATTTTTTGGGCGAGTTAGTTTTTTTGTGGGATGGGGTCGCCAACCCCATGCCCAACCTTCCTTTATTCGGGCTCGGGATCGGCAGTAAATCAGAGGGGCTCCAGGCGGAGTTATCTTCATAGTATTAGTTGACGCAATCCAAATATTTCGTCCGGCAGATTAGTACTCTCTTGAACAGACGTAAGAAATATAGTACTTAAACTTTGTGACCTACCTAACATCACCATATGCTGTGTAGTGATATGGTAATGTAATTGCAGACAAACTTTAGTCATAAACTGGAAGGGTTTTTATATTATGCATAAATCTGCAGTGATGCAGTCTCATGGTACCGAAGGTCGGAGAAAATTAACCGTATATAAAGCTCTACACAAGACGTTGTCCCTACTAGTTCACTCATTAACTTGCTGAATTCATATGAGCTAAGAATGCTAACCTTTGTTTGATCTATCCTTTAAAAATGTAGATTTTACTGAAGTACTGTAACATTAAGTTGTTGACAATAGAAACGCTCTTAGTAACAGATTAATTGTTTTCATTGTTTTAATTTGCATGGTCAGTCCTCATTTTTCTGGGCAGAGTACTCTACAAAACCTGTAATTTTGATTGGTTAACTTCAGATATAAGGTTAACAGGAGTCTTTGCATCGAAGCTTTAGAACATTCTGTAACCTAAAATCAATGATAAAGTTATTTTGTTGAAGTAAATTGGCCAGAATTATGGTAATTAGTGTTGAAGGTTATAGGATCTATACTGTACTGTACCTCAATTAATTAAAGCTACAATAAGTGTGTGGATGGAAAACGATTACTTTTCGAATAGAACTGTGGTTGTCTATACGCACTAGGAGCCTTGAATATTGAAGGTTATTTTTGTAATCTGTAGTCTGTGGAAGCAATCAAATTATGCATATATTCACCCATTTAACTCATCATTCTTATAGTGCTTGACTTTAAACATTCTTCATTTTGATGAGTTATTTGTAAATATATAAAACGTTTGTAATACCTAATTATTATTATTATTATTATTATTATTATTATTATTATTATTATTCATATTTTTGTGTATTTATAGATGAAACAACAATTCACCGATCTGGAAAATAATGTTCGATTTCGAGATAATCTGAGGGCAAATGATAATTTTATGAACGTTCATGATTTTAAGCAAATTTTTTCTTTTTTACTTCTTTTAGCAATCTCTTTTTTGTTTCACTCAGTCGAAATGAATTTTCTAAATATTCATTAGAGAATTTTATTAGTAATCTTATAGACAGTGTAATAACATGACATAATAAATACAAATAATGTTTAATACTTTATCAAAGTTTTCATTAAATACTTTTCTTTTTTGTTTCCCTTGCAAATAAAGAAGTTGATTACATTGAAATATGATAGTAAATAGGAGTTTACAAAAATGCTAGATTGTTTGTTCTACTCATTTAACGTGTTCTCATCTGATTATTACCATTAGGTGATATATATATATAGAAAACTATTTGACTTCGAACAAGTACCATAGTTAAAGAATTCTTTTTAGGCTTGTAAAAGAACAGTACATTTCAATTGTACACTCAACGGTAGATCTGATATTTTTCCTTATGTGACACGGATGGTATCACACAATATTGTATATTTCATTGACTACATTACAAAGGGGATATTAATTTGCGGACAATATCGTCACTATCAGTCAAAATCATTGAAACAATGCTTACAAATAGTTCCTCATAGCCAAAAAGTGACTTAAAAAACGAAATGTGCTATGAGACATGTTAATAATCAATAGTCTCAAACGGCATGACACTTCTTTGTGAATGACTTTAGTGGACATTTAGCAGCATTATCTGTTGAATACATACAAGCTTTCCTTGTTAATGTTGCAGATAATCTTTCACTCCTACATTTAACATGCTTTTCACTATTCAGTTTAGCCGATTGCAATTTAACAAGTGAGCTGTATTAAATTTAATGCGTTATTAAGGCATTTTTTCAATTTGACTTCGTTCGGCCTACTTAAATTTTTTTTCTTAAATTAATTTTGAAAAGTTTACAATGAAAATTAATCCTAACCTCACATTTTAATGAAGACCACATGCGACTGAAGTTTCAACATATCCCGAATAAGATAAGATTTTCATTTTAATATCTTAACTCATAAATAGTCGTTTGTCGAATGGATAAATTTTATTGATGACTTAACTTTATTGCTTATTTTAGTTAATGAATAACAACAAAATGATAAATGGTAATCACTAGAAGTTTCAGATTGTTTCTTGCCTTTTTTTTTTATAAATGAATGAAATTCACTTAGATGATACATCTTGATTCAAGAAAACGAACAATTATTAATGTTGATTTTGCGTGAGAAAAATCACTTTCTCATCCTTGTGTTCAATCTCATCACAATACATAAAGTTTGTCCATATAATATAGCCAGCAATAGTAGATGAGAAGAAATTAAAACTTCACAAAAAGCGCTAAGATGTCACTATCACACTCATACAGCGAGTTGCCCACGGAAAAGTGTTGAATCAAAATGCCTTATTACCGTAAACTTTTTCAAAAGAAAAAGTAGTCAAGATGATTACAGAACATCCGATGAATATTTCTTGAAATAAAAAATTATTTCTGTGATGCTATTTAATAAAATGCGATTTCCATATTTTTTTTATATTCAAAGTCCAAGCTCAGCATTTGAACGAACGGAGAGTAAACCCTTAAAATAGTGTGTACTGATAGTGTCCAGATACTGTCTATCTGAACCAGTGCCTTATGACGTGTATAATGATGAAGATTTAAATTACAACCATTTAATATTCTAATAAGCTACACAATCCAAGGAATTATAGACTAGTCAGGACAAGAACTAAGATTTATATTCTTTGTAGTGTATTCGTTAACATACAAGTTGTGTGTACGATTTTTAGCGATAAAAATGGATTAAAGAGGAAAGTTTTTGATTGAAAATGTGTTGCTTGTTCAACCGTTAGATAAAAGTTAGAAGAGAGTTTCTGTATTTAATTTTGGTAAATCACTGTCATAACAAAATCAACGAATATAATTGTTGACCAGTTTATGTTGAACAATATTAAACAGTAAGCAGTAGAATACTTTGATTAATTGATTGTTTTTCAGTAAAACATTTAGCTTCATTAATAACTAAGCATCGCACTTACTGTGTTCACTCGAATAATTTATGTAAATATATGCAAATAAATATTTAAGAACTGATGACCTGGAAAAGCCACTTTGAACTCTACATGTGTATACACATCATGATTCATTTTCGTAGCCTAAATAGTATGACCGTCCCCTATAATTAAATATGTTCACCCTAACATTGTAAATGTTTTGTAACGGGTGGTTTTCTCGTTTTGTAAGATTTCACTCATTATTATTGACTGAAATTAGTTTTATACTGGTTATGAAATTACTAGTCTCTAGTTAACAGTTACTGCACAGAGTAATTTAAACTCATATCAAGTTATTTTTGTCAAGTGCAGAAAAGGTACGTTGCAGAGTTTAATAATCTTGTCTAGTTTTAGTGATTGATAATTCGAAAATACTGAGATTTCTCATACCTACTTATATTACTGGTCATAGTAGTATTGAAACAGGATACTAAAATTAACAACATCATACAGAAATCTAATGTTTTTATTTTTAAAGCTTAAAACTATTTATATGAACGTTGGGGCAGCTTTGGAACTCGTGAAAATTTCGTAGGAACAATTATACATATTTTTGAATGACCTTGTTTATAGTACTGCTTCAAAAAAACCATCTAAAGTATGAAGTAAGGAGGAATCAAAATACAGTTATGTAAATAACAAAACACATGTTTTCTTTTATCGAATAACAGTAAGACGCTCCTAGTTTTAGCGCCAGGAAATCTGTTGTGAAATTCACTAGCTGAGTGTATCGTATTTTGAAGGTAATCGAGTACGGTTGATTGAAAATGGTACAATCAATGGAGTGATCACATTACTTCATACATCATAATTAAACGATTTAACATGGCCTGCACAGTAAGTAATCTGATAAAAACTATTATGGATCATGTTTTAAAAGTGTGTTAGTATTTACTTAAAAGAACAATTAGTTAACTAATAAAGGCGTGAGAAATGAAACGTGCTTTATGCTTGAGCGTTTCAGTCAGTTAACATTAGAGAATATCAGATAGTAGTTAAGGTTTAGTCTGATTGATTGATTTTCGGATATGGAGACTAAACCACTTGGTAGTAAATTCAACCACAGTTATCTACCGATCACAATTTGAACTGGGAGTGACAAAAGCATTTCTGCACCTTTATTCATTATATGTAATCATCTGTGAACTGATAGTTTTATTACGATTTCTGTTTAGCATAATGATCAGTGAACAAAACATTGAATGCCTCTGACAGTGAAAGTTGCTCCTCTCCTTATCACTGTTCACTTATCCCTATAGGTCATTTAGTGTATCCTCTATGCCTATTCAATCGAGACAATAGGGAATATTAAAATTGATAGCCTGGAACACTAAAACTTTATAAGTGACTGACTGTTAATAAACTAACAGACAGTTACTGAATAGCCGCATTTGTGCTATTCAGATATGATGATTTCAGAATGCAGCAACATTATCCATGTCCCAATGTAGAGTTTCGGGATTGTTACTAGTAAGATAAATTAATTCATTTCTCAGTTTAGTAACTAAGATATTGTGTGAATTAAATATCAGTAAACGAATCATTCATTATTATTTCAGTTTCCTAATACGGTATTACGAATTTTGTATAGAATACTCCGGTAAAATGATGACCTTGCAAATTTGAAAGATCGAAAGTGAACTTCAATGATAGGCGGGTAGCAGTTAGTGGCACTTACTATCATGAATTTTGAAGTGAAATCTTTAGTTATGGTATCCAAAGAGTTCAGCGTCATGACAGTCTAGTATCATCGACAACAGCATGTTTTGTAAATTCTAAACGTTTTGGGCACATCTTCGATTCTTATCTAACTTTTTGGATAAATTTTAATTGAATTTCGAAACGTTTCATATATTTAGCGTACCCTATGTTAGCTCTTTACAAAAAAAACTAATATCTTTCAACATTTTTCATAAATAGCGTTGTACAAAACTTGAAAATTTCTGTTGAAGTTGAATATTCTTTCAAACAATTTTTGACATTGATTTTTTGATCAAGCACATGTCTTTGAATTCTCTCCTAGTAAAAGTGTACATAAACAACCGAATGATTTAAAACGTTTTCCTAGTATTCGTAACTATGTACCGAGAGTTTCATATTCCTAGATAAAATAAGGGAGTCATGAAATGATTGATTTCTTGTTTGAAGAGGAATATTATTTCACCTTAGGAGAATAACTATCTGGAAATCGTTTTTCTAAAAAGTGAAATTATTACAGGAAAATGACTGGATACAAAACTCCACTTCCATACTGATAGAGCCTGTCAGTACCATATCAATTTAGCCAAGTAATATGAAAAAATTGAACAGCATTATGAGAATGTGCAAGTGGACTCATTATTTGAAACTCACAACTTATGTATTATTTAGTATGACTTTTCTCTTTAACAGAATCATTCAAATTAAACTAAAATATTTGACATTTCCAATGTAACAAGGAGGTTTGTGATTACGACTGTCTAAAATACAAAATAGATACTTGGAGGAGACCAAGCTTACTCAATCTAAATACACAGAAACGATTCGCTATTATAGCAGCCACACAGAAAATTTTTTGTCACAGAGGGACTGGTTCACTAGAGTTCTGGATTATTTCACAATATTGTTATTTGTTCCATTCATTAAAACATATTTTCCCGTGTAGACTTCAAAGACGTTTTGTTTTCTGTTTACATTTTATTTAGAAAGAGGCTATTAGGAGTTGCAGTATCTTGTTTTTGGCAAATTAATTGTTCGTGTTAAATAAAAAAATACTCATTTTTGATTTCTATTTAACATTTCTACATCAATTGATGAATGTTCAAGAGAAACGATATATTTTGTTAGCCACTCCTTATTAGCGTTTACAACAACTTTCATTTCCGGTTCATATAAAAAATAATGGATGGAAACAGTGAATTTCCTAATCGATATGCTTGCTACCAGCTCACGATATTATTTGTTTACCGTTTACAGCTATACAGATGAGAAGAGACTGTGTGTGTAGTTTGATGTATTGATGTTCAATGAAAAATATGACTCTCATTTTATCTTCAGTAAACAAACACTAATGTGCTAAGAAAAGTATCTTATTGCGGAACTAGGCAGTCAGTTTACAACATTGTTTTCTTTATGTTCATTTTTGTTTAAATTAGTCGTATATCACTGACTAATAGTTTGTTTATTTGAGGTTTAGTTTAACAAGTTGTAGCTCATTTCTTTTAGATAATAAAATTTATTACTGACTATCCATGATTGTTTTTACATGAAAACGTCCCATATTTAGCATAACGCCAACATATTCGATCGCAGATATCTTGATCCTCTGCCAAAGAAGCACATAAAGTTTTACATTCTTTCTTATAATTCTGAACGCAAAATAGACAAGAGCTTAGGTTTGCACCTATTGACGTTGTTGTCGCTGAACACTGAGCAATATGAGATCGGATAATTTCTAATTCTTCTTGTGAATAAGTAATTTGTATAATTCCCAGTATGATTATTCCAAGGGAAAAATGATTTTTTGAGAAAAAGTAGTACTCAGGTCTGTAAAAAAAAGTAGGAAATACATAACGGAACAATTATTTATATTTGTTTAAGTTGTAGAAATTCTATACAAAGATTTGTGTCAGAACTTACTACTTTTCTAGAACCAAAAATGTTACTTACATTTTGTAAAAAAAAAAGGAAGGCAAAGCCGGCATCAGAAATTCGTCAGTCAATCATCATGAATATAATGTTACAATTATTATTTGGTGAGCTGTTCGTGCAGACATATCACCTTATTGAACACTAACCTGAAGTTAATGATGTAAGTCACGTAATTAAGTTTCAGGGTAGATTATCTAGTAATCTCGAATCCAAGGGCCTCCGAAATAGAACATATCTAGAGGAATTTCAAAAACTATCAATTATCCAGTGTACTCATATAATAGATCACTGTTTCAAGTCTTCAATGGAAATTTTAGATAAGATCAAACATATTCGAATTTCCATATTCATATTAAGTTGATATTCTTGATCGAACCATTCTAACCACAGCGAGTGAAATACACTAAATATCTGTTTTATGCTAATAATGAGAATCCCTGATAGCACATTAAACTGCATAGCCAAAAAACATAACTGAACTGATTGACTTGCGTCTAATAAAATGTTTTCAATTTAATAACATAAAACACAAACAGAAGGGATTTTAAGAGGATCACCTATATTCGGATAATTTGCAGAAGCAGTAATCCAGACGCTGGATTTATCACTGTTTCTTATGATCATACAGAAACAGATTTAATTTATCAAGTATGAACAACAGTGAGATTGAATTTCAAATTACTGTGAATGAAATTTAAAAGAGATGTGAAAAAGATGACGGAGCAATTGTAGAGACTATGATCATTTGAATCCAATGTCGATAGAATAACTTGATAATCATTTAGGGAAATATTCCTATAGCTTTTGAAGTATATATGAATGGTACTTAGATAATTTGAAAGAAGAAAATAAAACCTTCATTATTATTATTAAATCATCCACGTAAGAGAAGAGAACAGTCTCAAAAAAAATTTTATACTTTAAAATCGATTTTCTGGTCTATTTTTTTGTAAAAGTTGACAAAAGGATTTATATATTATTAATAATATCCACTAGTATGTGAATATATAGTAAGGAGGCATTGACAAATGGATATTTCTGTATAACGCAATACAAAAGGAGGTGTATATTTCTTCTTTTTTTTTTTAAAGGAAATATGCTTATTCAGTAGGCTTAATAAATTTTGTTTGTAGAATCTGCGGATAACAGATTCGTTTTTCAGAGAACCGGCTGTTCATAAAATGAAGATGATTCTGAATATTATTAAACCAGTTAAATGGATTCCATCAATAAAATGGAGGTTTCCTATTCACCTGATGATTTCACTAATGAGAAATAGCACGAATGCTCTTCGAAGTGCAGTTTACCTCATTGGAAGGCTGTTTATTTATTTATTGGATTGCATAAAACAGTTTGAAAATTATCTGTAAGTTTATTTTGAATGTGAAATTGAATTCTCGTATATTTTTTGTGAAAGATCATCACTGTTTATAAACTAGTATCAAATATAAACCTACAAATTGTTATCATTTATGATAAAAAATGTTTTGCGTAAACTCATTGTGGCTGCAAATTTCAAAGAGACATATCAATATGTTAATCAATTGTGTAAAAAGGGGACAAATAAGTGATAATGTTTCAAAACTCAGTTGTGACAACGAATAAAATAGCCCTTGTAGTATATCAATTTATGATGAAATATTAATACTATGCTTTATGCATTGCAACGGGATTTGAAGGCAAACATCAAAAGAATGAATAGCAGATAGGAATAACGGGAAAGAAGAGCCCAAGAAAGAGGTTGAAGAATCCTGGTAGGCGGCCTATGCTCCACATGGGGTAATAAGGATGAATAAGTAACCAACGTTTCGCTCTTATGTCTGAAGCTATGGATAAATTGGTAGTGGTAAATGCTTACAGTTAACAATTAAGGATGGATTTTTTCAGTTATTTGATCGCTGGTAATTTCGACCTTTTACAGGAAAAAATAGCGAGAATGAGGACATGCGGTTTTTATAAAATCCATTATTAAGAAATCACCATAATTTGGCTTTATTTATCTAATAATCTATGATAAAAGCATGGTTATGTGAATTCGCACACATGTTTCCATCTTTCTCGTCAATAAAAATTTGTCACATGAGCAACAGACTTGTCGTGCAATGAAAGTTGTGGGAGATATTGACTGCCACCAAATTTTACTGGAGAACATGGGAACGAGATAAGTGATCTTTGTTGCCTTTGCAGTGTGATGCAGATTTTCAGCTGCTTAGTAATTCGCTTGTTCTTGATGCTGGAAGATCAATTCCAGTAGGTTGAACTGGTTGAAATGATGAGGTTTATGCAACTGAAAGTTCATTAACTTAAAGGACTCAGAATACTGTTCAGTTATTTATTAAACTTCAGTAATAAATCTCTTTCATATTAATACTGAACTCGGTATGTGTGAAATGGTATTATCTTGGTATATATTCTAGAACTCATTATTGTGATCTATTGATGATGTAAGATCTATGAACAAAAAGCATTTAAACCTACATAAATAACATATAACTGATGTGAAATTGTAAAACACGTAGCAAAAATGTTGCTCTACATGTTACCACTCTCTAATATGGGATAGATTTAACTTGAAAATAATTGGATTAACGGTTGTGAATTTGGCTCGTCAAGAGTTATTATATAAGTATGAAACAATTAATTAGTACTTTTGTTTATTCTTTAATTATCATCAGATACTAGCTGCTCTAATTTTCGTTGGCTTAAATATTGTGAAACTTTTACTACTTGTGATAAAGTACATAGAGTAAAACATTTATTCAATACACTTATTCTTGTATGGTCAAAATTTTTAAATTCCAGAGAACGGTATATACATGGTATCAAGTTGAAATGTGAGTTTTACTAAGATGCAACAAATATCTCATTTACAATTCTTTTATATATATCGTGATGTAAAAAATGTGACTTTGAATACATCTTTCGAATCTCAGATACGCCAGCAGATATTGTTTCCACGAAAAGCAATTGTTCCAAGATTAATGTGCACCAAAAGATTCCTAATAAATGTTATTTTTCATGATGACGGGGCTAGAATATATATTTATCTTTATGAATGAAGAAATGATTATTTCTTGTGTATGTTGATCTCATTAATAAGTATGTCAACATTTTCCATTTCAGTTGACGCTTGTTTTTAGCTTATCTAATTTTTTTCAAAGACCATAACATCATTAATATTCACTCATGAGCAGAGTAATTTAAAACATATAACAATAGCCGGATGAAATAATTTTTTGCAATTGTTATGCAATTCGAGTGTGATCCAGCTGCTGGGTTGAGAGAGATCTGTCAAACTGAGGGAAGGCCTATATACAGAACATTAGTTTTTATCACAACAGAATTCCAATAAAACCCTTTCCAGCTTTAGCAACTAAGCTAACATTTGTCAGCTTAAAAACATAATTAATATATGCAAAGGCTCGTTAAACGTTAAACCAATGAAAATAGTACCCTAAAATGTGTTTTACTTATGACTTATGGTTCCTTATTGGTCATGAGTTAAAAATCATTCCATAGTCACATTTATCAAAAAATTTGTGCACGAGATAAAATCCAATTTCAGTGTAGATACTTATTGCATTTAATAAGCAATAAATTTTTTGTACTGAGTCCGTGACCCTAAGAATATTGTTCGAAAAGTTAACGGAAATGTCAATCATGCAATACTAACTAAATAATTTTTATCATCTCAATGTAAAACAGTTCAACTGTGCTTTTCAGGCTAGACATAAAGTGTTGATTAGAAAGAGAATCCTATTGAGTAATTTTTAGACGAAGAATTGATTTACAGAAGAGTGAGTTAACTCGTCAAAGTATATTTTGTTGTTCACTTAGATGGATATTATTCACCAATATGAGTTTAAAGCATAAAATAGCTTTCTTTAACAAATTACTTGGACATGAATCTCATATTTTGAGCATGATACTTTTTCGCTTCTAAACTGGTTTATGATAACTAGCTAAAAACTTCATATTGTAATGAACGTGTATTTTTAAACCAAAGAGCTATTATTTTGGTTTATATAAACCGATTAATTTTGGAGTCACTTCAATTTGAAAAAATATTAACACATAGATATTATGGAAGTTAAAAAGTGACTGAAAACAGGTGAAAACTGAAGCTGATAAAGTTATTATGACAAGCATTCTGAAGCTTTAGGTTAATGTAACCGTTTTAGTTTTTTCAAGTAAACACAATTATTGGTCTAAAGAGGCACCTAGATGTTTATGTGCTGCATTAGTTGAGATACTAATTAGGTGCCTAAACCGAAGCAGTGGTTTTTCTAGGGCACTACTCCCCAGGATTTGATCTATTGGTCTAGTCGATAAGGCGCTGATACACCTTCAGGAAACTCAGTCGTATGGTGGTCGGTAACCAACAATAGGTTAATATGCTATTTGATCCCCGAGGATCCTCGAGTCCAGGTGCACCACTGGCTTGGAATCAGAGCTTTTCAACTCCTTTACCCAAATGCTCCATGCCCATATGCTAGTAATAATAATAATAATAATAATAATAATAATAATAATAATAATAATAATAATAATAATAATAATGCCTATGGTAATGCATTGAAAACGACGAAACTCAGTTCACAATAAATTTTGTTCGATCCTAAAATTAAATAAAACAAGCAATCCAAACGAACAAATTGCCAATGATTTTTTTTAGGTTAATTTCTCTATCTTATTAATTAGGTAACAGTTCTTTGAAAAACAGGATCAGAAATAAAATGAAAACTATGCTTTTAATCAAAAAATGGACCGTAATAACTTTATAGAATGAATTTAAGCATTAGCAAACTGTAAAAACATCTATCGTGAGAATAATAATAATAATAGTAATATCTTGAGAGTGGTAACAGCTTATTGTTAGTAATCTTTTAGTAAAA